CTCTGGCAACCACGTAACGCGTTATTATTGCAGTACTGTATTATCGCTGTTATTAACCCATTGGTTGACCAGGGTTATTTTTCCTAAAGGCATAGGCACTATGGCTGCCTCATGTTCTACATGTTCAGGTCCTATGGACCTTATGGATGCACATATTCACTGCCCTGCCTGTCTGGGCATCGACCATCTTAAGGAGGCTTTAACTGAACCTTGCCCAGAATGTAGTCAAATGCCATTGGAAATTAGGCAACAGAGACTGGCAAAGTTTGAACCGTGAAGTGAAGATTTCTTAATACCAGTCAAGACTAGGACTCAGACAGGTGGCAAGCGCTCAGCTAGCAAAACTGAGGGGCCTACAAAAAAGAAACAAACTCTGACTGCAGCACTATCTCACCAGGTAGTTGAATTAGCTAATGCTGTGCAGGTCATTCAGGCTTTGTTGGCTAGGTAATTTCTGTCTGCGACTCAAATGAGGATGTGAGAGCATGTTAATAACGCACAGTCTTGAGTGGCTTATTGTTTTTATAAAACAGTTTGAACAGTTCTATACAGGTCCACTGAAGACAGGAAGACAGGGTGGCATATATCGTGCTCTGCCCCTTTTTAAATAGCCAATAGCATTTTGTTTATATCACAGCCCACCACTGCGGCAGTTCGCGAGACAATGCGAAACCAGACTTTTCACTGGTTACGGATGAGCAGGACTTATACATACCCTTGGAGGAGACTTCTTATGCACTCTCTCAGTCTCAACACTCCCATAGCGATGAGGGCTCAAGTCTGCAGGGTGCTGGTTCTTCGGTGGCATTTTCATTGCAGGACACAATCAAGATGGCCCTTGCTAAATTAAATCTGGACCCACCCCCTCCGGCGTTGGGACCTTCAAACCTCTTGCGTCGGTCGGTTGCTCGGCCAGACGATTTCCTGATACCTAGCTGCCCTGACTTTACTGAGGTTGTTTTTTCAGCTTTTCGCTCTGCTCCTTCTTCCAGACCGGATCGAGCGGCGCGCACATTGGCTGCGATTGCTGATGCCCAGGATAAAGGTCTTGGTAACATGCTCTCGGTAGAGCCGTGTATTTCTTCATTGATTGTGTCCCCAGATGAGGCCCTTAAGCAGGAGCTACGCTGCCCTAACCTGGAGTGCAGGCATACTGATGATTTGCTGGTTCGTGTTTATAACACTGTATCAGAATTGACTCGTATTGGGAATTCTATGGCGCATTTGCTGTTGGAACTTCATTCGACCATGTCATCAACAACACAGGATAATACTCCATCAGAACTGCGTGAGGCTTCTCTACAGGCTTTGGGATCCATGGCTTTCTCTAGTGGGAAAGCTCTTGGACTTATCACACAAGCAAGATGGCAGGTGTGGCTGGCTCAGTCCAGGCTCCCTGAGGTATGTCGCAACAACCTCCGCCAATTGCCATTAGTGCCTGGTCAAATCTTCGGTCCAGCTGCTCAGGAGGCCCTTGAGCGCAGGGTAAGGGCAGCTGAGTCTCGTTCCCAGCATATTGGGCATAGCGTGAGCTACCCTGCACTAGCTGCATAATGGCTACCTGCTCGTCATTCAACTTTGCAGCAGCATAGACAGTTCTCGCCCGTTCTTGGTTCAGGCCATCAACTCGCCCTGCACCTCCTCACCGGCGTGCCCCCAAAGATAATGGAAATGTTCCCCGGCGTCGCTAGGGCTTCAGAGTCTGTGACAGGACAGTTTTCGGCCTCTCAGTTACATCCTTGGAGGGCAATTACAGACAACAAGTGGCTTCTCGATACACTTGAGAAAGGATATTGTCTTCAGTTCCGTCACAGACCCCTAGTGAGCACCCAGGTTTATCCGACAGTTGTCCAGGATCCGCATCAGGTCTTGGCCCTTTCAATGGAGATCCAAAACTTGTTGGAGAAGGGTGCAATAGAACCAGTAGACCCCCATGTCCAACCCGGGGGGTTGCACTCAAAATATTTTCTTGTTCGGAAGAAGGATGGAAGTTTCAGGCCCATCCTGGATCTCAGGCGCTTAAACAAGAGCCTCAAGTGTCTTCCTTTCCGCATGTTGCGGATTGTAGATGTTCGACATGCAATCGATCCCGGAATGTGGTTCACTTCAGTGGACCTGAAGGATGCGTATTTTCACATCCCCATCGCTCCACATCACAGAAGGTTCCTTCGGTTCACTTTTCAAGGCAAAACTTATCAGTTCAGGTGTCTTTCCATTCAGCTTGTCTCTTTCTCCCAGGGTGTTCACACGCGTCATTCAGGTGGCGCTGGAGCCACTGCAACAAGAAGGCATGCTGATTCTTCAATACCTGGACGATTGGCTGTTGTGTGCCAGATCATACCAACAGGCTGTCAACAACACACAGCGTCTGTTGTTTCATGTAGCCACCTTGGGTCTAAAGGTGAACTTTCAGAAGAGCTGCCTAATCCCAAGCCAGTCAGTGTGTTTTCTGGGAATGCAGTTGGATTCCAGGGCAATGAGAGCTACCCTCACTGTTGGCAGAAGGCAGGTATTGCGGGGAACTGTAGTAAAGTTCCAGGTTCATTACAAGCTGCCCTTCATCAGCTTCCTACGACTGGCAGGCCTTCTCACAGCAGCATCATCAGTCATCCAACTGGGCTTTTTACATCTTCGCCCATTTCAATGTTGGTTAATAGCCAGACATTTGTCACCAGTTCGCAATCGACCCACACTGGTTCGGGTCACAACCTATTGTGCTGCCTCCCTGAGAATTTGGAGAAGGGACAAGTTTCATCAGAGGGGAGTTCCAATTGGGCTGCCCCCAGCATGCAAAGAGGTGGTAATCACAGATGCCTCCCTCAGTGGGTGGGGAGGACTGTGGCAACACCAAGGTGTACGGGGCAGTTGGTACCCACAGTTAAGGGCCTCTCACATCAATCTTCTGGAACTATGGGCAGTGTTTCTAACTTTGAGACATTTCAGGCAAGAACTGTCGGAGAGACACATTCTGGTAAGGACGGACAATACCACAGTGGTATTTTTAATCAACCACCAGCGGGGCACAAGGTCCTTACCCTGTCTCCAGTTAACGAGAAGGCTCCTGTGTTGGACGTACAAGCACTTCCCTTCAGTCAGAGCAACTCACATTCCCGGTTGCTGCAACAGTGTGGCGGACTCACTTTCCCATTCGGGACCAAGACCAGGGGAATGGTGCCTACACAAGGAGGTTGTTCAGTCAATTTGGAAGAATTACAGGACAGCAGTCGTAGACCTTTTTGCCAGAAAGTCGACAACACATTGTCCGCTATGGTTTTCGGCGCAGGAGGAAGAGGGCTCATTGGGTAGGATGCTCTGGCCCACTAATGGCCAGATCTGCTCCTCTATGCCTTTCCTCCAATTCCTCTTCTTTGGTCTGTCCTGAGGCGGGCGCAGGAGAGGCATCACAGACTCCTTCTAGTGGCTCCTTGTTGGCCAGCAATGCCTTGGTTCAGCCTTCTATTGACTCTGACAACTGGCCCACCTCAGCCGCTGCCAGTTCAGAAGGATCTGCTTTCACAAATGGAAGGAGCATTGTGGCATCCTTTCCCGGACAGGCTGAAATTGTACATCTGGCCCCTGGGGTTGAGAGGATGCTATCCCAGTGTTCAGCGGGAGTGAGTAATACGGTCATGAGTGCTAGGGCTCCTTCAATGCGCCGCACTTATGCAAGTAAGTGGAAGCAGTTTGTCTCTTGATGCGCAGACCGGGCTCTCAGTCCAATTGATTGCCCGATCAGTGTGGTGTTGGACTTCCTGCAGTATTTGTTGGATGCTGGACGCTCTCCAGCTACACTTAAAGTGTTTGTGGCTGCCCTGTCAGCCCACCGGGATCCTGTGGATCAGGTATCAATCGGTGCGAATAGACTAGTGGCGGCTTTTCTTAAAGGGGCTGTACGTCTGAAGCCGCCAGTACGGGCAGTATGTACCCAGTGGGATTTATGGGTGGTATTGGACAGGTTGTGTTTAGCACCCTATGAGCCTGTTGAGCAAGCAGACATAAGGAGCCTCTCTATGAAGACAGCGTTTCTGTTGGCCATAACGTCAGCCAGAAGAGTCAGCGAGTTGCATGCATTGTCGGTGAGTTCGCAGTGTCTCAGGTGGGGACCAGGGGACAGTCAAGTTACACTCTGGACGAATCCAGCCTTTCAGCCCAAGGTATTGTCACCTCAGTTCACAAATCAACCTATTCAGCTGGCAGCGTTCATGCAGGAGGGAAGGGGCTCGCGGGCAGCCCTATGTCCAGTCCGTATGTTGAAGCAGTATGTATTGAGGACTGCCTCATAGCGTGTCACGGAGCAGCTTTTTGTCTGTTTTGGACCCGGCAAGAAAGGTGCACCTTTGTCGAAACAAAGGCTCGCTCACTGGGTGGCGGACTCTATTGTTGAAGCATATCGTGCAACAGGCCGTGTATTGCCTGCAACTGTTAAATGTCATTCCACTCAGGCAGTGGCCACTTCTTATGCAGCATTACGTGGTGTGCCTCTTTCGGAGATATGTGTGGCAGCTACATGGGCATCACCTTGCACATTCACAAGGTTTTATCGACTTAACGTGGCCCCTTCTCCCTTGATTAGTTCTGCCATACTTACAGAAGATGCTTGAGCTTATATCCTCATGACTTGGCTGTATTCGTCTTCCATGTATTGACCGTCTCTAGCGGTCTGAAACAGTGAAATAGAATGCTGGTTACTGGAGTAACCATGGTTCTATGAATGGTGGAAGACCGCCAGAGTCTCTGGTGATTGAGAATGACTATGAGAACGACCATGATGTAGTCAGGAGCTGATATAGCTTCCAGCAGGTCATCGGTCAAAGTCACGTGTGACTGATTAATACGAGATTCTCGATGTGATGTGCGAGACACGACTCCTTCCACCATGTATTGACCGTCTCTGGTGGTCTTCCACCATCCATAGAACCACGGTTACTCCAATAACCAGCGTTTTACTGCATTTAGCAGGTTATTTTAGTGTGATTGCGTATCTGATGGAGGATACTCACTGTAAGTACTCAGCAGGCTCTCAAACTGGGCCACCAGCCCGACGGCATGCAGCTGTCTGAGAAAGCCCTTATCCTCCAAACCTGCGTATAATCGCATGACAAATCCACACGCCAGCGCAGCCAGCTGCAGATACACAACACACATATCTTCACAAATGCCTTGTCACAATAAATGTGAAGCATAAACAAACAACTTGATGAATTATATCAATGCTGAGAGATTGATTTAAACAGTTTGGAATAGTTTTTCATCAAAGTGAAAACACATTTTTTCAAAACACACTTCACTAAACTGAAGGCCAGATAGTTTGTGTCTGGTCACTCACTGCTTGGCTGAAGACAGCATCCCGTCTCTGCTGCAGCTGCAGGCCCTGGGCCGTGCTGCACACCGCCTCCTGGAGCAGGACGAAGCTCACTGAGCGCCTCGCTCTCTCCGCTACTTCTGCCACACACTCCTTCAATGACTGAACCAGGACGCCAAGCTGATCCCACCAAACCGCAGCTGTCACGGGAGGATCTGGGGGAAAATATGACAATTGTGATGCGGCTTTCCAGTAATGTGTTTTCCAGACCATTCTGAGTGACCTGGTTTCTACTAGTACACAGATGGTCAGTATTAATGAGAATGAAACTGGATATTTGAGATTGCGAAATAGCTATTAAGCTATTGATTTGATTTGCTTGTGGTTTGTTTAAAGCACTTGTCTTGAAAAGGAGGTTGCTAACAAGCATTTAAATGAGAGGTTGTTGGTGATATTAAACATAATCATGCCAAACAGGTGAACTCATTTACTTTAACAGCCTAATTGTGTTTATTCACACACTTACAAACTATTCTAACTCAAATTTTCAGGGAAAGTTTGTAAATGAAGTCTGAAAGCATTGTTGAAGCTTAATGGGTAGTGATGTTAAAGTCATGTGATCGTGGTTTAGTTTGTTTTAAGCCGACTGTATTTAGGGTTCAAAGTTTATAAAAGTTGTGAACAAAACGTGTAAATATCATAAACTTGTTGGCCACAGTGCATATTTCCTGCAATAACTCAAAAACCAAAGGAAAAGTCCTGTTGGATATTGGAAGCAGGGTGATGCAACTTTCAGGATTAGCCTATAAAAATACATCATCACTGCAGTGCTCTATTGGCTAGAGAAACAGCATGTTTTGACAGGAAAGGTCACTAATTTAAGTGTTTAAATTTGAAATAATATGCACTTATAAATCGTTCACAATAAGAGCAGGAATTTGCATTAAGTATATAGGGTCCATTTGGATGGTAAAATCAGACCAAAATTATGCAAAACTGACCACTATTGGACCAAATCATGGAAAATGAACAGTTTTGGTTATGACAGCATTGTAAAATAATTGAACCTGAATTAAGTCATTGAATTAAGTCATTGAACCTGAATTAAATGTAGTAGTAATTTCTTTATTCTTTGTGCACTTTTGTTCATGTTTTTTGAAGACGACAGCATTATACAACTGGTCCATGTTGACATTTATCTAATCTGACTCGCTTGACAGATGAAGAAAAAAATCCATGTGAAGTATTTCCATTTTCTTTTAATGACAGTTAATAAGCCTGTTTATTTATGCATGCATGACTACATTGCAACTAGCACTGTGTGATTTACCCTGCTGGGTAAGGGAAAGGATTTAATGGAATAAAGAAGTTATAAAAGTGTTATAATCTACAATTAATAAAGTTTTATAATCTACTATTACAATAATGGCACAGTTAGTTTATGAGTGCTGTATGCAGGAATTAAAAACTATACATCTCTTTCCAACATGTATAAAGCAGCCCACCCGCTGGTAAGATTACAATGCAATTAAAGTGCTCTGAGAAGACAGCGGATCAAGCTTTAGAATAAACTGTGTTTGATGCTTGAGGCATGCACGGGTCTGTTTGTTATCTAAATGACAGACTAAGACAACTACAACTCTTATCAAAAGTCCCAAAAACCGGGAGACAGAATTAGATCAAAGTTAGCAGATATGATCTTTGGGGCACTAGAGACTAAGTCTTGGCTTCCTTGTCTAAACATGGTCTGGAATATATATGAACATCCATGTTTTTGCTCCATCGATGAAAATAGCTCAAAATAAAACCTCAGAGTGTCCAAGAAATACACAGTAGTGGTGTCTCATTAATTAATCAGTGTTTTTGAACAGGTTTCTTGAAAAAAACAACGATTCAATGACTCACTCGTAAAGACAGTCACATGCTTTGTTTTTGAATGAATTAATATTTTTAAACAAACTGGTTGAACAAATGATTCAATGACTCGTTCGTAAAGACAGTCACATGCTTGCTCTTGAACAAATCAACATTTTGAAAAAGTTGGATTAAAAAACGATTCAATGACTCATTCATAAACACAGTCACATGCTTTGCTACTGAATGAATGAATCGTTTTTGAAAGAATTGGTTGAATAAACGATTCAATGACTCACTCATAAAGATAGTCACTTGCTTCGTTCCTCAACATTTTTAAATGAATCGATTGAATGAACAATTCAATTTCCCCTTTTAAAGACAGTCACTTAATTTGCTGCTGAATGAGTTAATGTTTGTGAATGAATCGGTTGAACAAATGATACAATGACTCACTCATAACAGCAGCCACTTGTCTCTTCCTAACATCCTCATTCCTGATCAGTGCTTTTGAACGAATCACTTGAATGACAATTTCAATGAGTCACTCTTAAAGACAGCCACTTCATTCCAGAAAACATTTCTGTTAAACAAATTGGTTGAAAAATGATACAGTAACTCACTCATAAAGACAGTCACCTGCTTCATTTCTGACCGAATCAAAGTTTTTGGATGAATCAATTAAACGAATGATTCAATGACCAACTCAAACAAATAATTCAGTAACTCTCTCATAAAAACAGTCACTTAATTTGTTGCTGAATGAGGTAATGTTTGTGAACAAACCAGTTGAACAAATAATTCAATAATTCACTCATAAATGCTGCCACTTCATTCCTAAATTAATGAGAGTGTTTAAACTAACCAGTTGAATTAATAATTTAATGATTTATTTGTAATATTTTCTATGACATTTTTTTTTAGTTTTCACCTTTTTACCACATCACTAATCACAGAAAATATAATTTACATTATTTATTTATATAAATGTACATTATATGTATAATTTTAATAATCACTGTAAAAACATGTTAACGTTCAGGCACCTTCCATTTTCCTCATAAAAATCAATTCTAAATGTCAAACACAGCTGCCCTGTTGAAATTTCACATGCCCTAGCTTGATATTCTTGCAATTTGTCATTCAGCTCTGTGATTTGCAATAAATAATTTGTTTTAGAAAAAAAGGGCATGAGAAAAGAACTTCAATCTTTAATCTACGAACTAGATCTGCCTTACTCCTTTCATGTGCATCTGTTTTGCAACAAGCCCTGCGTTTGAATTTGTTTTGCATTAGTCATCAGATTTTTGGCAGTATTATCCTTGCTTTGCATTGAGTGGCTTTTTCAATGACCCCATTTCACAAGAACATTCATTGAAAGAGTCACGTTCAATAGTTTGGTTCCCTCCCAGGGTGTATCCACACCCATGATCGGAATAGCTGTCTTTATTAAATTCATTACTTTTTATGTGCATGACACGAGACATCAACCTAAAAACCGGTCCGACATCATTTCATCAAGCCTTTGAATGACAGCTGATTTCATGTGTTATGTGAAGTATTTGCACAGACACAATAACGTTTTATACAATACATTGCATATAATGTTGACATTGTCACACAAAATGTAAATACTGCTGACAATGATCGTGCAAAGATGCAATCTTGTGTAAGGAGAAAATATTAGCACACATTTGCATTCTTGTTAACAAACGATTCAGTACTTTTGCTACATTTAAACTATGAAACTGCTGCAATAAAAATATATTATGAAAAACACACACCACATTTCTGGAATCAATCATAAATAATTAATGACCAATTGCTTTAACATGACACGAAGGCTTAGCCTGTTTGCTTTGAATTCCAACTTTTATGCAAAATGTGAATTTGGAGAACTGTCAGAAATGAAGTGTAATATGAGCTCAGCATAAAAAAAGCATAATTGCCCTTCAGTAAATTCTTTATATTGTAAATTGCAACAGGCAGAACCGCAACATGTAGTTTCAGATAATGTCCAAGTGGTGGCAGCATTGGCTGCATTAAAAACTCTCAGGTTTTGCACTCTTGCACTGCTTGTCATCGGCTGCACAGTTTTTTTTCACTTTAATAGCACTGAGTGTCAGAAGTTTCCTTTAACTATTCCTGTCTGACAGAAGATCTGTGGATGGTGCTAATATTCATCTCTCAACTGATAGATCTGACAAGTGCTAAAAAATAAATGTTGTGGGTTGTTATTAAAGCATGAAAAAAAAAGTACAACCAGTGAAAAATTCTCACAGAAAACGTCTCGAGTGAAGTGGAAAATCCGCCATTAGAAGCTTTTCTAGGATGCGTGAAGTTGGCAACTCATGTGAAATATTATTATTAAAATTATGAAGAAAAAATGACAATATCTTCACATTTTTGTCCACTATTCTCTACTTTAACCTTTATGTATAATGCATTATACAGGTATTCAAAATGTATGTTGTAATGCACTATATATATTCATAAATAAAAGTAAAATGCATTATTACATTTTTAGATTCCTTGCTTCATCTGAAACAGATTCTAAAATGCATGTGTTTTAATGCATTTTATTTTTTTTTAAGGTGTAGCAATGAATATATAAGCATTAAAATGCATTATAACTCTGGTTACCATTATCAATGGAATCAAACAATGCATTGTAAGGTGCATTACAAGGCATAATTAATGCATTAAAATACTTTTAATAATCCATTGTATATAAAGGCTTCAAATAAAGTGTTACCCAAAATTCAAATGCAATTTCAAATCCTCATAATGGGGAGCGTTAAGTGTAACAAAAATATTTCATTTTCGTAATTAATCCAGGGCAACGACATAATTAATTCAGTCAAAAGCATGACAATGAAATGATACTGACACTTGTTTTTCCATTTTTCATAGTCTATGCCTCACCATAAAAGGAAATGAATTCACCTTTAGGCAGTTAATTGATCATTCAAGCAGCCGTTTGGCATATTTGATGTATTATTTTAGCATTTAAGTATTTGCTGGTTCATTGCAGCTGCGGTCTTGAGTTGTAATTGATAATTTGAGCGTTCGTATTCAGTGTAGTTTGTCGTACCGGGACTGTGTGAGGTGATGACGTCTGCCAGCGGGTGGCTGGGCGCTGATTCCTGGTTGTTGTTGTCTTGCTCCTGTAGTTTATCCACCAGGGCGATGACACAGTTCAAACTCTTCGCCACACTGGCCCAGACCCTGTCCTAGAAGAGCCAAAGCAAATGTTAACGTACCGACACTTACAGCACAGAGACCTGACACGTAAACATTTTGAGTTTATTTTCTAACCAGACCAGTGTGATCAGCAAATATTTACATTTTATAACATTGGTTTTGATTTTGTGTTGCACATATACCTAACATACTCATATGTATTTTATATATGTTTCATCCACATGGAAAATGTTACAGAGAAACATATGAATAGAAATACAGTACAAACTCAAACACACACATGTATGTACTGTAAACATGTTAATATTTAACAGATTAGCTTCGAAAGATCGTTTGATTTATTTTAGGGTTCATTTAGATGTCGTTTCTCAAGCTGTGCTCGACTCCTTTCCAGAAGTTTCTTCAACAACCAAAAGATGACATGTTTCCGTCCGCCTGTTTTTGGTTTCTTATTACAGAAACTTCCTATCTTAAAACTTAAATTAAGATCTAGACAAATTCAACAGAACTTGTATATAGTTCCTAATTGAAATTCGGCATGGTTACTAAGTCAGGATGTTTCTGTAATACGGCTCCTGATCTCATTAAAACCACTGCAGAAGCTGCACACACACACACACACACACACACACACACACGCAAGCGTACCGCAGACCACAACCGCTCCAACTATCACATACAGTTCAACTTCAGCTCTGGTTTAATAGGGCTGATGTTGTTGGTTAACATTTTTTACTCAGAAATATTATATAGAGCACCAAAAGATATGACGGTCTCCCCATGCATTACATTTAAAGCTTAAGGAGGAGGAAAACAAACGTGCACGTTTGAGACTTTAATAGTAAAATATCTTCGAAAGAGAGTGTATTTGCTCTTTCTATTTTATTGTACCTTTTTATGGAGAGAGAGAGACAATAATATGACTTCTCATAATATTTAATTAAGCACTTACTGGTTACTCCTATGACATTTATGCAAATTGATTAAATCAGCACTTCTATTGGCTGACAGAGTAAAAAAACAACATGAACATAAAACATTCTGACAGGAAAAACGATCAGGCAAACGTCAGGCATGGCTTCTCCTTCCCTCCTGTGAGCGGCGCTCAAGGGCACGCAAGTTATTTTGCCATTGATTAGAGATGCTTGTCTTATCTTGGCCTCTAATCCTCTCCTGTTAGCCACGGTTATCACACACACACACACACACACACACACACACACACACACACACACTCTTGAAGGCAATTACAGGAGGCAGACACCACAGCTTCACATCCACGTTTCACAGCACCATTGACTAAACAAACACAACACACTCTTAGTATGTGACTTGAGTTTGTAGTCACCCTTCAGTTTGTGTGGTAAAGCTTTCTACTATCAGATGCTACAGTAATAGCGGTTGCCGTGTGTGCTGATATCACTGGCTCGGTTGCTAACCTGATCCCTGTCTGGCCTCTGGCCCTGTGGAATGACTGAACCTCTCAAGATCCTATCAAATATATCCGAGCTCGAGCGCTGTCAGACTCTCTGAAGTGCTGCAGACACAAGCAGCAAATGTGCAGAGTAGCTATGGAAGCCCGTCTCCGCCACTGAATAAAAAATAAAGATAATTGGGACTACTTTTTCTCACAATTCAGATTTTTTCTTGCAATTGCAAGCTTATATCTCGCCATTTTGACTTTATAACAGGCAATTGCACGGTTATGTCTCACAATTCTGTGAAAAGTCAGAGACAAAAAGTCTGAATTGCAAGACAAACATGCAATTGTGAAAAAAAATGAGAAAAGTGAGTATCTCACAATTTTGACCTTATTTCTCGCAATTTTGTTTATACCCTGTAATTCTGACTTTGTAAGAAGCAACTGTTTATAGCTCACAATTCTGAAAAAAAGAAGTCAGAAATGCAAGATATAAACTTGCAACTGTGAGAAAAAAGTCTGAATTGTGAGCAATTAAGTCAGAATTGCAAGATATAAACATCTTGCAATTCTGACCTTGTAACTCGCAATTGCAAGCTTATATCTCACAATTCTGAGGAAAGTAGTCAGAATGGCAAGAAATAAACACACAATAGCAGAGAAAAAAGTCCAAATTGTGAGATAAAAAGTCACAATTACTTTTCTTTTTTTTATTCAGTGGCACAAATGGGATTCCATAGCAGAAGAAACTGAAAAACTAAAGCACATAAATATGTAAATGTATTTGTAGTATATACACATCATGAAATTTTATAGGGCTGCCCTCAACTAAGAATTTTTCTAGTTGACTAGTAGTCGTTCATTTGAAGCATTAGTCGACTAATAGCACGTTTATTAATAAACCATTTAAATCATTATAATGTGCCTTTAATTGCCTAAGCGCTCAAGCACACGCATAAAGCTTGCCACAGCGCACCGGCAGAAGTAATGATTATGAATGTGTCAGGGAAAAACAGTAAGGAGACTGTATTAACATTTTAATATTTTGATAAACTAGTGCTTTCTTTGTTTCGATTTAAGAGATGAAGTCGGAGACACTGACTCGTCAGTAGAGGACGCACCTGTATGCATCTTTCATAAGAATTACATAATCTGAGAATTTGTTTTCCATTTGAAAGTAGACAGTTCACTCTCTATAAATATATTTTTAATGTCTGTAAGGCAAAGATATACATGGAGTTTCGCGCTCAAGTTCACAGAGACCGAGACGGCAGAAAGCGCATAATGTTTGCTTTCATTATATTACAAAAGCGCGGTGTTGTGAGTGCACACAAATAAACGTAGAGTCTTTACAGATT